GCTGGGTTTTGTTTAATTAGACTGCAGTTAGGTCAACCATTGATTAGTCATATGAACAATAAGGTGTGTAGGCTCTGGAGTGTACATTGGCATATGGAACAGTGTTTGGACTTTTTGATAGAGCGAGATTCGTAGCTTTTTTTTGTTCAAGATCATGGCTAGGATACTGTCTTTAACGGACTTGTCTTCGGTTGGTAGTTTTGATCCGTTTATTTGTTTTCAAAATGGCTGCTAATTTGTTTTCAAGATGGCTGTTAGTTTGTTTTCAAGATGGCGAGTATAATATCTGTTTCTTGATGTAACATATGTTGGTTGATATAATATATGTTGCTTGATATAATATATGTTGGTTGATGATTACGTTGTCAAAATCTTCCGTTTAAACGTTGTTATATTTTTTTACGATAAAATTTTTTTTATATTCCAAAGAAGACATTAGAAAAAGTTCAAACTGTTACAAATGCTGTTTTCGCAGCTAATTAAATTTTGATCCTCAAGATTTCACCGATATTATGAGAGTACTAGCCAATATACCCGGCGTTGCCTGGGACTGCCTCCCGATCACATTGGTATCCCAATCCAATCAGTATCACGATCCCTCTAAATCAAAATTCCGGTGGGATCCCGATCCCGTGGGTTTTCCCATCCCGGTAGTATCCCGACCCCATTGGGATCCCATTCCCATTAGGATCTCGACCCCATTGGGATCCAGACCCCATTGGAATCCCGACCCAATTGAAATGACGATCCCGATTGGGATCCTGTTTCAAAATGGGATCCCATTGGTATCCCGACCCCATTATGATACCAACTCCATTGGGATCCCGAGACTATTGGGATGCCGATCCCGATTGAGCAGATTGTGCTTAATTGAATTTGTTATCGCTTTTTTTGTGTGGAATACTTGTTGCGGCCCAGTCGCACTCAGACTCTACCTCCTGCGGCCCGCGGATGATTTGAGTTTCAGACCTCTGTTTATATAGCTTAAATATGGAACATGAAATGGGGCCTCCGGCCCAGGGTAATGAATATTATGAGTTCAGTGTCCTTCGGTATTTGAATATGGATAATCAAGTGTATATGGAATAAGTTTGATGAAGTTCTATCTATTCATGTATGAGTATTAAGCCTAATGATATTTGTATCGCTTAGATAAGGAAAAGTGAAAATCCCCTCCCCCCCCCGGGGCCCCCAGAGGAATGGATATTATGAATTCAGTACCCTTCGGTATTTAAATACATGGATAACCAAGTGTATGTGTACTGTGTTTTGTCAATATCAATCCATTGATGTAGCCTATTTACCTATAGAACTTTCTGGAACATTATAGATAAAATGTGTTACGCAATGGCTTCTGTTGTGAGAAATTAATCTCCTATTTTAAATTTATGGCTCGTTCAAACAGTGCCTAACAAAGGACGATGCCATATAACACAAGTACGACACCCAAAACAGTACCGATTACAATTAATAAGATTTAATTCAGTAATAAAACAATTATAAACAAAGAAATATAATTACAAATCATCAACTTACAGTACGGTAGATCTTGTACCAGTACACAGTTAGTACAATGTGCCAATGAAAAATGATGAATGCGAATAACACATAAGTACACAAATAATAATACACGTCTCGTGAAGGTAAAATATCTATCAATCTCTCTCTCTCCGTATCTGTCAATCCCTTATATATGTGGGTCTACCGACGCCTAAGCCCTGCCTTCCAGAAGTTACTCAGCATTTGTTTACATTTCTAGAACAATCGCAAACATTTTACAAAATACTAGGAAACAGTCTAAACATGTTTAATTGGAAAGGCGGTAGTCAACAAGATACAGCAAACGAATAGGCCACGCCCATCTATGAACGGAGCGTGTTTGCTAAGGTTCAAGCAAAGTTCACGCACGGGAAAAAGTGTCATACATAACAAATGCAATAACCTCCTCGAATTGTTGAAAACATGTATTTTCTAAAGAATTATTTTTCGAATACGAAAACGTATACAGCTAAATGCACTACTATGCACTAATATGCACTACTATGCACTACTATGCACTACTATGCACTACTATGCACTACTATGCACTATTTCTTTTTGGTGTGGAAACAAAAAGTTCTTGTTTTTAAGTTTGACGCATTTGTCATTGGTAGTCCTAATGTTTTTATTTACTGTTTGAGATCCGCTATTGAACAAGTTATAAATGTTGCAACTTATTAATCAGAGGAGGTGAGGACAATAAAACAAAAAAAAAATGGTGTACATAATTTGAATTACCTCCCTTTAATTAATGTTTCTCGCGGGGTTGCCAGATTCAGAGCCATATTTAAAACTATCAGACCTTTCCCATCACCAGGACTTCCACAAGGCTGATGTTCAAAAGGTATTTCATAATTATGACTGGTATTTATGAACTTGATTTTAATATCCCGGACTTTTTCATGAAATATCGGACACCAGGCAACCGTAGCTGCTTATGAAGTTTACAGGACACCAGGCAACTGTAGCTGCTTATGAAGTTTACAGGACACCAGGCAACTGTAGCTGCTTATGAAGTTTACAGGACACCAGGCAACCGTAGCTGCTTATGAAGTTTACAGGACACCAGGCAACTGTAGCTGCTTATGAAGTTTACAGGACACCAGGCAACTGTAGCTGCTTATGAAGTTTACAGGACGCCAGGCAACTGTAGCTGCTTATGAAGTTTACAGGACACCAGGCAACTGTAGCTGCTTATGAAGTTTACAGGACACCAGGCAAACGTAGCTGCTTATGAAGTTTACAGGACACCAGGCAACTGTAGCTGCTTATGAAGTTTACAGGACACCAGGCAACTGTAGCTGCTTATGAAGTTTACAGGACACCAGGCAACTGTAGCTGCTTATGAAGTTTACAG